CAAACGTTATTCCGGCGCCAAGGCGACCAACCAATCAGCAACGGAATTTCCCTCCAGCAGCCATCCAGGAAGCCTGCGTCAGCAACAGGAAATCATCTCAGCTTTTAAGCTGTCAACCAAAGCAAAACACAAGTAAACGGACAAAATCTTATCTCTGCTGAACTGGTGTCGAGCTAATTTAAGCAGTAAACATAAGCCAAATATCTGCTTTGTGATTCTCTCGGGTTGAATTTAAAACCACTCGTGGAAACGAGTGTTAGAACTTTGAAACTTCATGCAACTCCGTTAACTCATTCCTTCAATTTTCTGAGCTGTATATGTGTGTGTGTGTGTTTTAGCCTAGTTTTAATGTAATCTAGAATAGCCAATAAAATTCATGTTTCATTTATAAAGAATCATTGTCTGGTGTCATATAATTTTAAGGTTAAAACCTTTGACAAAGATCACGTTACCTAGCTCGTAGCTTACTTATAAGAGAACGTTATTACCCGTGGCCGGGGAAATTACATATTCAATTTGTTAAAAAATACTGAGGTCACGGCTCGCTGGACGACCGTTGATTTAAAGTGTAAAATAACAAATTTGAAATCAGTTTTAATCAGGTGGACCTCGAATTTTCAGATCCGAGTCCTTTCAAAACCTGAATGAATTAATAATAATTAATTCCCTAAAATTAAGTAATCAAGTCATTACAACTGTCACTACCGAAAATGTGCAGTCACTACTGAAACATGTTTTGCCAAAAATAAAGTATACTGAATTATCAAGATGTTATGATAGTTTTTGGTTCAATGTATATTCAAACTAATGAATCCTTAACTTTGAAATCAGTATAATCAACTGTATGCCTTTTACAAAAAAATATTGGATTCAAAATGCAACAAAATAATAAAAAAAGGAATTGCAAAAAAATATATTTACAATGTAGATGTAGGCAAAATCTTAATAGGTCAATATAACCCTCTAATTAAATTATTATTGCTGTGATTCATTAGTGACAAATTTGGGGAGAGGACAAATATTCCAAAACATTCTGAAAATACAATATGAGAATTAACTGCGCAATTACTATATGTGTACCTTGGATATTATACAAGTTTGGAAAAAGACACATTTTTTTATCAAGTTTTTTATTCTGTAGAATGGCCCATATACGGTACTTCCTGGAAGCAGCCACAAACTCAGTCACACTCGCACTCATGATAGGAGTGTATGTGAGGTAAAAGCCTTCAGGAGAGGGTCAAGTAAGGAGGCGTATAATTAAATTTTGACTGAACATATCTTTCCAGGCGGTTTCCTCTCTGTCAACTCAGATTACAGAACATCCATAGGATGCTTTCTGACTGCCCTGTGTCCCTGTGTGTAAGAATGGACAATAAAAGCATCTGAAAATTTTCTGGTAACGGTCTGAAGATTAATTATTCTGATTATTATACTTTAAACTAGATGTTATATTCTGAATATAATGTGAGTGAGTGGTCAATGATATAGTGTGTACTAGACTCATACTAGCCCAAGTCACAGGAACCCTACCATCAAGAATCTGTGATATTAAGGTCTGTAGATATGGCTCTGTTGCCTCCTTTAACATAAGGATGTTTCAGCCCATTATATCATCCACCAAGCAAAATTATTAGTCTGGTCATAATTCCTTAAAACCTAAACATAAAAAGATAGAAAAAAAATAACTTTTTTTTTTTCAAATAAATTAATGCTTTTATTCCACAAGGATGCATTAAATTGATCATAAGTTAAAGTCAATACATTTATAATGTTACAACATATGTATTTTTTTTAATTCTCAAACAAATGCTGTTGAACAAATGTTTTGAACTTTATATTCATCAAAGAATAATGAAAAAAATATATATTATCATACTATTATTATTATCATAATAATAATAATAATAAAATCATACCGACCCCAAACTTTTAAACAGTAGTATATAATGCCATTTTTCAGCATGTACAAAATGTGCTAGAAATGTGGCACACACATACACACAGAGACATTTCAAAAGTTCAATATGACACTGAATTCAAATGAGAAATTTGGTGGTTTAATTTCACAGATGGATGCAAGTTATGCTGAGAGATACTTTTCATTACATTACATTTCTAAATGTTTCTTCTTCGGTTCTGGCTTTACACAGCTTTCTTGTATCTTTCTTATTCACCCACCCACAGATTGGATGATTGGAGCAGACCTCAACCTATTACGCCTGTCAGGCCCCATCTGCACAGGCACACAACATGTTATTTCACCATCTGTGTGTTGCACCATCCAAACGCTCACGTCTGTGTTGCTGTCTGGAGCTCACAAGATGCAGTGATACGTAATGACAGTGCAAAGACACAATTCTCACTTCAACTTTATAATGGCATGAACATAAACATGCACAAACATGCAAACACACTGTTTTGTTTTACAGTTAAAAGGAAACATACACTGTTGTGATGTCTTACTGAATGTGTTCAGGGTAAGTGTGAGAGGAGATGTGTGACTGTAACATCTGAGTCAGCATCTATCTCTCACACACACACACACGCACACGCACGCATGCACACACGCACGCACGCACACACAAACACACACACACACACACGATACATCTACTTAAAAGAATGTCCTTCTTAGTTAATGAAATATTAACTTCATCTGTAACATATTACCACAGACAATAATATTAGACATGAAAGAATATAAGCACTTCAGTAAAACATCTCCATAATATTTTTAAATATCTATAAAATCTTGCCCTATAGACATCCAGTGTAACTGTACAAATCTAAATATACATTTTTGCTTATTTAAAAAAAAAAAGAAAGGGGCAATATTATCTGTGGAAATGTCACATATCATGGACACTACTGACAAAAATTAGCCTCTCTTGAACCTGGAACATTGCTTTAATTACAAACCCAATACAGATGCCATTATAGGCTCTTTACAAAAACAAATTAAAATGCTTTCCTTATTATGCGTAGATGATCATTACAGCAAAGAAAGCAAACTTAATTTAGATGGTGGTTATCAGCTCTCTCAAAACCTGACAACATAACCATATTCATTTCAAGTAATGCGTAATTTCATTCAATGTTGCCATAATCAATTTTTGTGAGTGGAAAGCTGGGGCTACATCTCTTGAAATATAGCTAAGCAAGAGACAATGGAACTCATTATTTGCTGTTACCATGAAATACATGCTGATATCTGGTAAAATGAAATCTGTGAGTCTGATTTTTCATACAGCAAACATTTCATGGAAAGAACATGAAAAGGAAACTCGCTGAGAATAAATCATGGTGGAGAATCCATGCCTCAGGCACGGAGCGAGTGTATGTGAGAGAAAGAAAGTTATGAAGAGAGAGGGAGACAGCAAATAAGAGAGTGTGAGACAGTATGAGCGAAAAACCGCTAAGGATGATGGGATGTATTTTCCTGATTGATTCATATTGTGCTGCACACCACTGATTCACACTGCTGTCAAGGCACAGTTACCCAAAATAGTAGTAATTATTATTATTTACGCTCCCTTGTGTTGCTACAAATCTGTATACTGTTATTTTTGCTCCGATAAAAGGGAGAAACTCTAAAGAATGACAGTTTGGGTTTGGACTTTGGAATGACATGATGATAAGTTAATAAAGAGAGAATTTAAATTTTTTTTGGGTTATCCCTTCAACCCACATGCATTTAGACCACATGACACACACAAACTATAAATAATCAACATGCTGTAGATATTCTCACCATCCCTCTCACTACACCAACTTCTCCTTATTCTTCCTGCTCTCTCCTGTCTTTCCAATCTCGCTTTGTGAAAAACTCTAACACACAGTCATACATGCCATCAATTCTCTATTGGGCTAGGTAGATATTCAGCAGTCATAAAAGCCAGCATTTAATAAATCAAACAGGGATGAAAAAGAGTTATCACTGCTCAAACATATATAAATATCTGGGTAAGATGTTAGCCAGGGCTGTAGGCAAATATGACACTGAAAGTGACAAATGCACCAGATATTTAAAATGCAGATGCAAAATTGCTAATGCTAATAATAATAGTAATAATGTTGAATAAAGTTGAAAATAATGTTTAAAATAATGTTTGCTTAGTTTGAGAAAACACAACTGTTATCCTGTTAGACAGCCCCACTTTATTTTCTGACACGGACTAGTATTGCCATTAAAATACACAAATAGCTTTCATTCACTCCGGAACACCGTCTTGCTTCATATTTCTACACACTCACTATATTAGCACCAATTTCAACATATACTTTATTTTTTACACCTTTATTCACCTTTCACTCTCAGTGTGTCTACATTATGGGGACCATATGTCCCCACAAGGACAGTAAAACCTGAAATCATCTTCATTGTGGGGACAAGCCAACAGTCACCTTGGGGCAAACAGCTTTATAAACATATTAAATAACAGATTAATGAAAATCTAAACATCTCTGAAGGTTAGGTTTTATTTGCATAGAACTTTTCACATTACAGGTTGTTTCAAATCAGGGGAACTCCTCGAGATATTCAAGTCTATGAGGAAAAAGGTTTAAGGCAGTTTTTTAAGAACCTATGTTGTCTTAAGTACCCCCACAGTCCCATCAATAATGCTCAAGCACCTATTCATAAACACAAATCCAGAAAATTGTGCCTAAAATCTCTTTAGTATTACCATTTAGCATTATAATTTTAAAAGCCACTTATAAACAATCAAACAATACAGTGTGTGTAAAACAGAATCACGTTACATATATTTTTTTGTTTTATTTCCTTATTTCCATGTGCCACTTGTAACCTGCTTGAACGATATGTGTGTGACCATGTGCGCCAGCAGGTGTGGTGTCTCCCTGTCCAAATGTAATTGCATAACACAGTGTATTTTGTAACATGTCCATTTACCAGGAAGTACAGACATGGCCCCTCTATCCTTAAGTATATGTATTTACGAAGATGTATGTGTTCAGGTATGCTCGAGGACACTTACCTGCTCTTTTGGCAGGTGGCGCAGATGTAGCCCCTCTCGCTCTGATTGTAGGTGCGGCAAGATTTGCAGACGTTGTAGTGGCAGTCCAGACATGGGCGCTTGGGGTTGAGCAGGAAGGTAAAGGGAGAGAAGCAGCAGAAGCAGCAGTGCTCGTTGAACTTGTGCTGCTTGGACAGAAGCAAACAGCGACTGCCCTCCTCCTCCAGCTCCTGCTTCATTTCACTACAGAGAAGGAATGGGGGGGGGTTGGAGAGGAGGGGTTGGAGGAGAGCGAATGAGAGAAGGAGTGGGAGGGGATAAAGCGAGAGTAGGGGCATGTGAACAAGGGGATGGAGAGAGAGAGAGAAGGAGAGAGAGAGAGAAGGAGAAAGGTGAGCAAGTGCATCTGAAGGGAAGGTTGAAGGCGCACAGTCATGCAGAATAATTGGAGATTCTGTGAGGAATGAAAAATTAAAGTAAGAATAATTCTGCAGATGTGTGGGGCATACAGATACAGTCTGTATAATTTCTCTTTCTCCATCTCTGTTTATACATACATACAAACAGACACAAATATGAGGATAAAGTCACAACAGGGCTGGACTGGGACTGAAAAAAAGAACACAGCAGATACGCACTATATGGCTGTGTTCTGAAACCTAGTGAGCTATATTAATGGTTGCTTTCAAAACACTGCTTCATGAAGCTTCAAAACATTTATAAATATTTTGTTTTAAATTATTGGTTTGAGTCTTGAGTATCAAACTCACCAACTTATGTGATTTCAGCAAATGAGGCTTTGTTACTTCATACTTTGTTACATCAAATTGTTTCAAGCTTTGGGATGCTTCTCAAACAGAAGGCTGTATACTAGTGAGGATGCATCTATCCTTCTGAGGCTTCAAGGCTAGAATCCTGCTCATGGACATGGCACAAAACATACTGTTAAAATTATAATTTGAAGAATACTTTCTATATCTATTACAATATGACATTCTATTAATGCAGTATAGGTAGGGACAACCATCTGTGGTCTTCCGGTGGTTAATATTATGCACAGTTTACCATTATGTGATTCATTTACAGCTAAAAACAACAACAACAACAACAAAACATAAATTCTAATGATTTATGACTAGATGGTGTTGATCTGGTGATCCCATGAACTAGTATCTACAGTTTTATAATGAATTTCAATACTTTTGCATGTATAATACACAAAGGAGAATATTACTTAATTGATTTTACCAATAGTTTGCCAAGCTTTGCCAATAAAATCAAGTACTACAAATGAATAAAACACAAATTATACAGCACATTCATATTTAATTATATTTAATTATTTACAGATAACATTTAATAGATTATACTTTTATTAAAATATTTGAAATCAGTCACTTTTATTTCTATATATACACAGATTGTCAAAGCAGCTTCACAGTGATAAACAGAAAAATAACAGATTCAGTTTTGGAAACTCAACTATGGAGACAATTCAGATTCTGCTGTAAAGCAGCTCTAAAAAGATAATAATGTCATTATTCCGGTCAAGTCAGTTCAGTGTTGGTTCAGTTCTGATTAATAACAGTGTGAAGTTAATCAATTTCATCAATTAAATGAAAAACGAGGTCAATTCATCTATAAGCAGTTCTACAAAAGGTAGCAATGTCATAGGTCAAAGGTACAGCGAGGAGTACTTGTCCTTCGGATTTACCAGTGCTGGTCCTGCTGATAACCCCACGCCTGTCTATGTGCTATGCTCAGAGACCCTTTCTAATGAGGCACTGAAACCATGTAAGTTTACACCGTCACCTCGAAACAAAACATGGGTCGTTTGCCAGCAAGCCTCGAGAATTTTTAAAAAATAAATTGAAAGATTACCAGCAACGTAAAAAAGTGATTGAGTCAAACTGTGTGACGGGTGGCGAAAATGAAAAGGCAGTGACAGCATAGTATGAGGTATCAAGACTAGCTGCATCTGGAAAGCCCCACACCATAGGTGAAGACTTAATTTTACCAGCCGCTAAGCAGATGGTCAGCATAATGCTGGGAAACAATGCAGTTATGGCGGGTATGGCGAATTTGTATGGGATGATATTAGACTCAAAATGATTATTAGATGCACGCACAATTATCCATGTACTGCATACATTTTATACATGTATCTTACTAACCACAAACAAATACCTTTCAATTTGAGTCTGGGGAATTCAGGATTAAATGATTGTGCAGCGATTTTTACAAATACAGACAT